GATGAGCCAGGAAAGTAGGTTGAAGCCAAACCATGAAAAGCCTGAAGACCATGTTACAGATTCTGAGTTCTATCCAAATAATGGTGTGATGCTATTGAACAGTTATAAAGAAAAGAGTGACATGATCAGGTTAGTATTAAAATGGTAATTCCAGCTCCAAGAAGGAGAGTGGATTGGAGAGGGAAAGGACGTTCATGAGGAAATAAGAGGTTCTTACACTAACCTGGACAAAAGATGAAGTTATGTGGTGTTGGAGATGGAAAGATGCAGAAATCTGACCTATGTCATTTTGGGCTTATCATCTACTTCCTGGGTCACTTAGGGAAAGTCACTTAAGTGTCTAGGTCTCGGTTTTTCTTTTCAAAGGTAAAATGGGATTAACAACCTCTTCCCTACCCACCTTGCATGACGATCAACTAGATATAAATGTGAGTTGTGGGGAATGGGTGAAAAAGGTGAAAGGGATTAAATACAAATTGCCAATTATTAAAAACAGTCACAGGGATATCAGTACAGCATAGGAAATACAATCAATAATATTTAATAACTAGGTATAGTATCAGGTGGCTACTCGACTTAATGGGGTGATCACTTTGCAAGGTATATAAAAGTCTAATCACGGACATGGTTCCATAATGGTGGCTACTAGACATAATGGAATGATCACTTTGCAAGGTATATAAAAGTCTAATCACGGACATGGTTCCATAATGTAGCAGTTAGCATGTCAGCTTTACACACAGAAGGTCCTGGGTTCGCGTCCCAGTGGAACCATGATCCATGGTCTACAGCCATGCCACCCTGAACAAGCCCAATGTCTGATCTCGGAAGCTAAGCAGGGTCACGCCTGGTTAGTACTTGGATGGGAGACCACCTAGGAAGACCAGGTGCTGTAGGCATAAATAATAATAATAATAATAAAATAAAAATAAATAAATAAAAGTCGAATCACTATGTTGTACACATGAAACTAATATAATATTGTATGTCAACTGTAACTAAAACACAAATTTTAAATAAATAAGTAAATAGTTTAACTTTTTAAAAAATGGATATGAACGTATTCATAAACCACATAGGTTCTATGAATGTAAGAGGTTAGCATTATTCTTCAATCCCATATGAGCTACTCCTTCTCTTGCTCTCTCTCCTCAATCATTACTCATGTAGCTAGTGCAACTTCAAGTCATAGTTCGTTGACTTCATAGGTATTGGTTTTGCCATGTAACTAAACTATTTCATCCTTAGGGGCACAGATTGTTGTAGACCTCTCCTATATGTATGTACTCCATTACTTAACAAAGAGCACAGTACATAGTAGGGGCTCGATAAATGCTGTAGACAAAATGACACTCGACGAATGCCTATTAGCTAAATGATATCTCCAGGTTATCTTCTTCCTAATGGAAGCTGGTCCTGATCACACACAAACTCGCAATTTCTTGCTTTTTGTGGGTAATTAAGATTTGTGGCTCTAAAACACAATAGAAACCTTTATAATCAGGGATGGGGTATACATTTAGGACTTGTGCATTTCCATATAACTTTTTAGATGTGTAGGTTCTGACCCAATATAAGCCTGCCAACTTTAAGGTCAGTGGGGAGTTGAATAGGGAAGAGGATTTGCAGCCATTTCACTAGGGATCTAGAACTGTCTCTAATATTTGTTACTTTGAGAGCCTTAGTATCCCTATGTGTCAAATAGGAAAAATAGCAATCTATCGCTCAGAGTTATTGTGACACTTAAACAAGATGAGGGATGCCAGAGTGTTTTTCGTTTATTTTCAGTTCTAAGTAATATTAATTCAACAACCATTTATTGAGCACCAAATCTGTGCCAGGCAATGTGTTAGGTGCTGGGGATACAAGGATGATTCACTCTCCAAAAGCTCAGCTCATGGTTAGTTGATTTGTTTGTTTGTTTGTGTTTGTTTGTTTATTTATTTTATTTAATTTTATTTTTAGGCGAGGCAACCCTTGGTTGACCTCACAGATTGCAAGGACCTTGTCAGCTTACAATCTCTTATTTTTTATTTTTTACACCTATAGCACCTGGTTCAGCTCATGGTTTAAAAGGAACCAGACTAAGTCACCAATTAAAACGCAAGCCAGGTAATGAATGATACATGTGAAGATGGTGGGCTCTCAGACAGCAGAGAGGGGCTTCTTATCCACTCTTTCTTCTGAGGTTGGCAAGGGAAGGCAAAGATTGTCAGGGGTCATCAAGGAAGGTTCCCAGGAGGAAATAATACTTAAGCTTACCTTAGAAGATGCCCAGGAGTTGGGCAGGTAAAGAAGGTAAATGAAGAACGTTCCAGATAATGAAAACAACAGAGACATTTCATTCGTTCATAAACTCAACAAAGATGAATTAAGTAAGCATAATACAGGCGAGGAACTCTAGGGAAATACAGATAAACCAGGTATGGGCCCTGCTCGGGGGCACACATTTTCCACACAATTAGACAGCCATGTAAAGACACTTATAATTCAGTAATTCAGGGTGAGGTCAAGGTTCCCCACATAGTGAAAATTCAAAAAACTTCAGGTAGCTTAATACAATTTCCAAGCAGGAAGGCTTGGAAAGTGAGATGAAGCTTGACAGAGGGGCAAAAGGCAGAGAACATGGGGGAGGGGAGGTCAGCAACCTTCCTCATATTAGGCATGTGACTTTGGACTGGTTACTTAACCTTGTCAAAGCTTGTATCTTCTAGCTCCAAAACTGAGAGAATAAATACTGCACCAAAAGGTTGTTGTGTGGATAAAATGAAGTGATAGATATAAAGTGCTCACCATAAAACTTGGAATGTTATTAGTGGCCAAGAAATGCTAGCTGCTATTATCATCATCATCATATTATTGTTATTGTTATCAATTTAACTAAGGGGAAAACCATTTTCAGCAATGTGAGTACCGAGGGAAAAGGAAGTAGGACAACTACTCTCAACCTCTTACCTTCCTAAAGCCCTTGAGAAAGAAAAGACAGATTGGGATGTTCTATGTCACCCTCTGCCCTAGCCTAGTGCTTCTCAGAATCTTACATAGAAGAACCCTAACCAGAAAGAGAATGAGTGAATATTCCCATGAGGTACCTCTGTAACTGCCTTTGACTTTTAAATATAATTCTATCTTGGAAATTTATTATCCTCATTTCTGTTATCATTATCACCACCACCACCACCACCACCACTATCATCATCATCATCATCATCATCATCATCAGAAATACAATGCTTACTCATTCCCAGGCACTGTTATGACATTTTACATGCGTTAACTAATTTCGTCCACATAATAATACTATGGAGACAGGTAAAATTATCATTCTAATTTTTCAGATTAGGAAACTCTGGCAAGAAACCTTAAGTAACTTGTCCAAGATAATAAGTTAATAAATGTTGGAACTGGCAAGTCGATCCAAGCAGTCTGGCTCCAGAACCATTGCTCAGTAGTGTGCTACTTCTCTAACATAAAAATGGCTCCCTCTTTCAACCTCACACTAGCAATGAGCTATGAGTAGATGTGTCATGCTTATCCTACGGCTTTGGGCTCATGGACACATAGCCATACTCCATGTGAGGGGAACAGCCTAAGACCCAAGAGCTTTATCCAGGTTTGCCATAGTGACATAGCCTCGTTAAGGACAAATGCCCACAGCACTCATGTGGCTAAGGGGTTCAAGCAGATGACAAGTTGGCCGCCGCTGGGAGATGATTGAAAATCTGCCATTAAACCAAGCTGTACTTAGAGCAGACCTTTTTTAAAGTAGCTTTTCATCAGGGGATTATTTTTTCTTCTTGACAATTTCCTTAATGGCAAGAAAGGCTATATGTTAGAAGAACAAAGGAGACCCAAGGGCAATGAGTAGAAGATTCTCACCAAGGTGGGGGAGGAAGGAGGAAAATTAAACAGGCAGAAGAGATGTGCTCCCTCTTTTATTCCTATATAATGCTCCGGTGCTACCCACCCCCGCCTCCTCCCTCTGCTTTCCTCTCTAGGGGCACGAACAGCAGCCCAGAGCTCATTAAAATTTAAACAGGCTGATCAATATGAACAGAATGGTGAATTGTCCATCTGCAAATTACCAAGCCCTTCATGAATATTTAAGGAACTAAAAACTAGGAGATGAGAGAACCCAGGACTTCATTTTTCCCTCTGGAAAAAAAGGAGAAAAGAATCTCTTTCGTTTCTGATCACCAGGATATAAAACCAAACAGTCAAGTGAAACTAAGAAGGAACACATCTTAGCCAGCATCACTTCCTTTCCCAAGCCAGTAAGCTGACTACAAACCAAGGCCAGCAGAGACGAACATCCGCCTGGCACAATTCATAGATGCCCTAGTCTTACCCAATACTTCCTTGCTTTCTCAAAACACACCATGTTCTCACGCCATGGTAACTCTGTGCATACTGTTCCCTCTCAGTGAAATGAGGTTGCCCTCACTTGTCCCATTGGAAGGCAGGCCAATCCCGCAACTAAAGGTGCAGCACTAGAGGCAGACTGCTTAGATTCCTGTCCTGCCCGTTACTAATATGGGTAAGTTGCCTAACTTTTCTGTGCCTCTGTTTACTCCTCAATATAGCAGAGGTAGTAACAGTCCTATCTTCATAGGGTCATTGTGAGGATTCAACTACATGATGCGTGTTAACACATTTTACCCCACACTGGGCATACATAAAAGCACAGTAGATGTTGGCTATGATCACCAGTGACTTCTTCCATATTCAGAATCTTCTGTCCTGTCTACTCTGAGCCCCTCAGAGCTAAGCCTTTCCTTAGCTCCAGCTACAGTCACTTTCCTCCCACCACGTATCACATCACATTTTAGCTGTCTATTGGTCTCTGTCAGTACTACATACACTGTGAGCTCCTGAAGCAAGGCTTGTATCTAAACTTACCCCAATATTGTCCCTGGCATCAGGTGGACAGAAAACACATACTCGGCAGGTGCGAGTAGGGAAGCACGTACAAGGAGGGAGTGCCACAGTTGTGTCCATACCTTTGTGACAACACAGCACGCGGTCCAGATGTCCTCAGAGGACTGCTCATGGTGGTTGAACTGAGGCTCCCACTTGTAAATTGGCTGGTCTGCAAAAGCCAAAAGGATGCCCTTCTGGTCCACCAGAGCCGCGCGGACACTGCCAGTTCCAACGTCCACACCCACATAGTAGGACCTTGGTTCCTGATCTTCACCAAGCATTGTGTTTCCTCCACCTGCAGTGAACAAGGGCAAAAATCACAGGAAGACTAAGTGGGTCTGCAAAGTCAGGCACAAGACACCTTGAAAGTGGAAATAAAAGGGGAGAAGCTAACTAATTGGTAGCCTTCTATTATTTATTCACTCAACAAAAATGTTAGGTGCTAACAGTGCTAATAGGCACTGAGCAAGGTAGTGGGTGAATGAGACAGGTATGGCCTCAGATTTGGAATTTCCATTGAAAGGGAGTCAGATGTTAAGCATTAAGGAACTGTATGATTATTTAAGCAAAGTCGTAATATCAAGTAAAAGTTCTACAAGGGTAAAGGACTGTAGGAGAACTGAGAATCTGGAGGTAATAGATATACATTTATTCTCATTGAATTTGTCCAAAATTTAGTAACATGGCTCCTGCCATGTTACTAAAAAGAAACTTCTACTCGATCATTCATTCAAATAATTATCTACAGAGCACCTATTAGGCGCCAAGCACTGTGAAAAGTACAAACCTACCCTCTACTGCTCACTATGACTCCACATGGTGAGTATATTTAAATCTCTGTTACATATTTAAATATCTAAGTCACATATCTCTTGGAGTCTCACTTTGATCTGGTGTTGTGGTGATCAAGGTGAGACTCCAAGAAATATATAACTTTTCTCTTAATGTTAGGTCCACCCGCTTAAGAACAGTAGGTATACATTATTATGATAATGCACATTATACTAATGGGGAAATTGGCCTCTGAGAAGTGGAAGGATTTAGCCAGCATCCCTCAGGAGCAGTCTGGACCCACATACAGTCAGTCCCACATCTGTGAGCTCTTGGGTCTCATGCTTTTTTCTGTTTTTCTCAACAGCTGGCAGTACAAGTTTGGAGAAGAGGCAAATATATTGCAGCCATGTGGCAAAGTGATTGAGAATTAGCCTCAAGGGACACAGGATCAGGAATTTGTTAGAGAATCTGTTTTCCTTACAGACCCCTTTGTGAGTTACAAGGAAATCTGACCAGAGAACACACAAGAATTCCTTGGCTTTCATTGCCGCTCTAAGTCCTTTCGGTCAGATCTGCCCACAGGACATAGAAATCTCACAGAGGCTTTCATTTTCCAAACTGGCTTTCAAAGAATCAAGACAAGTCCCACAACACAACCATGCTGGTAAACATACTACAACTCCACAGGTGAGCTCAGGACAGTGTTAGCGCCCAGAGTCTGATTTCAACTGCAGCAGCATTCTGCGCCTTCCACTTCAAATAGGTAACGTTTCCTGGGCAACACTGGGGGCTTCTAAAACAAAAGTCAGCCAGCAGATGTCCCGTTACTGCTTCCTGGATATGTATCCCAGTCAAAAACAGCTTCATTAGAAGCGACTGTCTCTGACTTCCTCGCAATGACTTCTCAACTGTGTCTGCCCCCTTTGGCTTTCTGGCTCACTGGCAGATGGAGAGGAAAATAGGGAAGCTGTAGTAAGTACATCTGCTACCTTCATCTGAGCCTCAGAGAACAACTCCCAGGCTTCAGTCTACTGCTTTCTCATCTTCTTTCTCTCACTTACAACCCTCCAGGAGCTCCATATAATCAGTAGCACCTGTTTTCAAACCATGCATTCCTTCATTCATCCAACAGAAATACCTTTGCTTCAACCTTTTCTTTACTCAATGAAAATTTAACTAAAACAGATCAAAGCAGAACTGCTCTGAAGCTAAGATCACCCTTGTCCCATCCTCCACCCCTCCCTCACAGCAGAACCTCTGCTGGGTCCTTCGCTCAAAACTCAGGACAGCTGAAAACCATCAACTTAGCGCTATGATACAACCTGAGGCTTCAGCATAGCATCTCAGGCCTCCTGGAGCTTCCCTCTGCCTGCTTTCCAGTCATGTCTACCTGTCCGGTCCATTTTCAGACGCAGCTCAAGACATCCCAAAATGAGGTTCTGAAGTGCATCCATCACTTCAGACTTGCTCTTCCCTTCCTGATTCCTTCCTCTCTTGTCCACCTCAACCATCACCTCTTCAGGGAAGACTTCCTTGCCTTTTTCTGTCTCTTGGTGCCACCACGATACTGTATTCCTACTTTCTTTGAAAACTTACCACTCAGAATTGTGATTTCTTTTTTATTTGTTTGTGTCTGTCTTCCCTATTGGTCTGAATCTGAAAAAAAAAAAAAAAAAAGAAAGAACTTACTGATTTCTGCATCTCCAGTTTCTAGCACAGTGGCTGGTACATAATTAGTTTTCAATAACTGTTTTCTGAATGAGCAACTAAATCAGTGAATCAATAGAAAACTAGAATGAACAGGTTCATATTTTAAATTTGAACTCCCAAGTTTGTACTTTTATGTACTAATGTTTTACCTTGATTCTAAACTCTGTTTCCTTCTAACAAATACTTATTGGATGCTTATAACCACATTTTATTAATTCTAAGACATTCATTTTTTCACATTTACCTTCTCCAAAATCAGAGTGAATCTGACCATCAATGGCATCTTACAATTAATTGGAAGCATTTTCTTTCTTTCTTAGTGGTATAAGAGATAATGATGCATCTTGCAATGAATGACACATGAGATGTGAAGAAATTCAAGCTATGCCAAGCGCCAGGCACCCTGCTAAGAGCTCAGGATACAGTTATGGACAAAATAGGACAGTGCCTTGGCTCAGAGCTTCTTCAGTTTCTTATCTGCAAATAGGAGGAAGACTGACCACGCTAGCTGCTCCACCTCCCCTCCACTGACCACGCACACATCTCACTTTACCTGGGATCCCCTACTGGCTTCCCACTGTCATCACTCTGAAAGGCACCACAGGGGCTACTCCTTAACAGTGATCTTAGTATTTCTCTGCCCTTGGCTAGAACATTCCAAATCTATTCTAAACACTTAGTGGGGGAAACAAGGCAACAAATAGAAAATGAAGACTCTGTATAACTTTCTGGCTTACATAGACCTAGCCAGCCATTATCCAGGCTTCTCTCCACTCCTAGGAGGCCCAGTGATAAGAGCAGTTACCACTAGGGGGATGGCCCAGCTCTTCATGCCTGAGTTCCTCACTTCTGACTGTCTTCCTCTGCAGGGAGTATACCATCTTACCATCCACCACCCAGCCATCCCAATTTATTTCCAGTAAAATCTGAAGAGGCAGATTTTCACTCTGCAGCTGATCCAAGGCTTACCCCAGTTCTGGTTTTTGGACCCATCTCTTTGCTAAACAGGAAAGAGCCCACCCTTCAGAGAGCCCCCAGCTCATGTGGAAAGTGAAGCTTCACCATCAGACATTTAACTTCACTGCTGCCCGTGACACTGCCGTATCCCCAGTGCCAGAACAGTGCCTGGCACATCACAGGAACTCAACAAGTCTCCATAACTCAGTGGATACCTTTGACACCTGTCATCAGGGACATAATCAAAGGTACCATGTTTACTGTGGATCTGATGCTCTGCTAAGCAGCTTGCTTATATTACCTGACATTAACCCTTAAAAATAATTACTATCATAATCCCCACTTTACTGATGAAGAAAATGAGTCCTGGACAGGGAAAGTAACTTGCTCCAGTACATCATGTAATTAGTAATAATAGAGTTGAGAATGATCTCATTCTCTCCAGCTCCAAAGTCGCTAACCACTCTCAGGATGCTACCGTGCCTAATACTTCTCCATTATTAAATGCTTATTGTCCAAGGACTCTGCTAGGTGTCCCTGCCTACTCTGTCTAAGACTACTTTGTCCACCTTCACAGACTGACCCTTCCTCAACACCGGCGGCCTCTCTCTGACAAACCACCGGTTTCCAGACCAAATACCAACATATCAGTAAGAAGAGAGTCAAACCCACAGGAACAGGTCATCATCATACCCTCCCGGCATCATCTGTGCATCATTTACACACACACACCCCAGCTGATGTTCTTCCAAGACATAGATCCTAATTAAATATTAGGATCACCACGTTTCCCATCAGTATAGTTTTAAGTGATCTCTTTTGATTGTTTCCACACCTGGACTCTGAAAGCAGGGAAGCAGAGAAGTTTAAACCCTTGGGCGGCTTCCCTGAAACTTGACCCTGTGAGTTACAAAAGTTACGCCAGAGGGTTTTCTGCAACTCAGAGCCCTCGTCTACCTGCTTTGTGCAACTTTGTTCCCGGGTCCTAAGTACTATCTGCTGTGTCCTGGACTCCAAACCATATTCCAGTTCCTGTTGGCCTCAATAATAAAGTAACTGCAAAATAGAAAACATCACCCCTTTTTCTAATGTTTAATAAATAAATAAGTAAATAATAAAAGGATTAGGGTCCTCCTGTGCGTCTGGCTCTTTCACACATGTGTTAACCTCTTCTAACTTAAACCCAATCAAGTTGGTAAACCTATCCCTATTTTTTTTTTTGTTTTACCTCAGTGGGATGGGGAAACTTGCCCCAAGTCAGCAGCACCCAGATTTCAACCCCAGCCTTTCATGGCAAGTTTAGGATTCTTTCCACAATGCTAACCTAATTGAAAACCAAATCCTTTAATAACTTCTTCAATAACAATATCAACAACACATGCAGCAACAACTAGTATTACGCTCTGCTCTGCAAGCCACCCACAGGATTTCATGATTTCATTTAAGCCTTATAACAACCCTATGAGGTAAGCAGTATGAGCCCATGTTCCAGTAAAGGAAAATAAGGTTCTAGGTGACAAGGCTGTTTAAGGTCACGGTACAGAAGCAGAGGAGCTGGGATTTGAGGCTGGGTCGGTGTGGCTTCAAAGCACGACATGAATAGTGAGAGTCAGAACTTTGGCTCCCTCACATTCTTTTCAGGCAAAGATGAATACTTCAGAAACAACTGATAGGGATATGGGGAGAGTGGTCAGGCAGAGAGAAATAAGGACATGAACTGTGGAGGCCAAGAGAAAGGAAAATACTGGAGAGAAACTCAAGCTGTGCTGCATACAAGTCCTGAGCCATTTCTAACTTCTCAGTCCACGAGATGCTTCAAAAGGCAGAAACGGCCTCCTGTCCAAGTCCCCAGAGTGGACTGGTCAGATTTTTAGCCTCTATTCATCATCAAAAGACAGCTCTTATGATATTTATACCTTTCATTAAATAAGAGCTTATATAAATATTATTAGAAATGTGCCACAGGAAACCACAGACTTCACGGCTAACTCTTCAACAAATGTGCAAGCTGCTCAAATGCAGCATGACAAAAGGAGAGAGAACGGGACATGAGAGGCTGTTCTTTGCAAGACCATTTCAGAAATTCTAAGAAAGGGGTCAATGCTACAAACACTATGTTGAAAACTGATCATTGAGGGGTGGTTCTCTTATTTTTTCCTTCTTTTCCCCTAAATAACCTAATAGTAATAATATTGTTCCCTAAGACTGCAACCCTCCGGAGGTGATGAGCTTACCTTCAGTTCTATTTCTTAAAAAGCCACTCTTCCAGGACCTATTTGGTGACAGTGTCCACAGACAGTGTCCCAGGTATCTGAGAGGGAACTTAATATCTTCTTTCAACTTTGATCTTTGGACTTTGTTGGGAGCTCCTGCACATGAGTTCCACACGATTTATTTAGTAAGTTAGTTATCTAGTTATATTGCAATCAGAAGGCTGGTAAATTTGGGAAGAAAAGGATAAGCAATGAATATGCTTGTCTGCGTCAGACTTCTTAACAGAAAGACTTTTAAAAAGTCTCACATGCTCTAAGATGGTGAGAAAGTTTGGGATGATAGGAAAGAGATCATTTGGCAACGGTAACTGGTTCTCTTATTGGCTTTATCAACAATACACATGGGAGAAAAAGTACAGCTTGCTGACAGGCACTTTTCCTCTTAAAGTGAAAAGTTGTCTCCTACAGCTCCAACCACATAGTATCCTTTGAAAGATTAACTGAGATTATGTAACTGAAGTGCCTAGCATAGCACATATGGTACATGCTCAGTAAATGACAGCAATTATTAGGTCTATTATTATGTGCCAAGCTTCCCTTCCAACACCAAGCACCTCTGGACACCTGCAATCTTTTAATATACATTGTCTATACCTGGGTGTTTACACCATATCAGCTCAAATTCTAGTAAACAAAGCAAATATTAAGTGTCTGCTCTGTGCCAGGACACTAAGAAGAGGAAGCTGAAAATATATATGATCTCTGATTTTAAAGAGTTGACAATTTAATGTAAGAATCTGAATTTTGAAAATCAAATGATGATACCTCAAGTTAGTCCTAGTTTATGTAGTTCAAGCTAAACATAATGCACCTAGTAAAATTGCATATGGCAGTAAAGTGGCTTCGTGCTGCCACAAGAATCCTAACCATGCTCTTGGGGCCAAGCATCCTATTCCAACTGCACCTTTCTCCACAGATTGCAGAGTTGGTAAAGGAAGTACTGGTTTACTGTTTTCATCAGTTTTCTAATCACTAGATCATAAACTCAATATTTTCCAGGATGTTAAAGATCTTCATGCTCTTGACTTAAACCATTTTTTAAATACAAACCTGAGGAGGGATATGGATTAAATCAGACAGTAGAAAGGCTGGCTGTCCTTTTAAATTCAAAGTTGGATTCCAAAAGTCAGAAAGTCATAACTCACCAAATCCCCATGCCTGCCTTCACGATGTTGCAGCCACAAGGATTAAAACTGAGCCAGCCCTGAACAGTGGTCAAAACTCACCACTCTCCAAGAGCCACACAGGCAATGGCACAACATCTGACAATAAGAAAATACAAAATCCAACCATGCTGAGGCTAAACGTACAGTATGGGTCCTAAAGAAATCATGGGTGGAAAATCTAACTCATCAAATGACATTCCCAAACTCCAGCGACAAACATCTCCTGAGAGCAAATTAAACTGGCTTTCCCGTGTCTTCTTCTAGAAAACCTTACTCACTCTTTTCTCGTCTTTTTAATCCTTGTGGTCTAAAAATCAACTCCTTATTTGTTATAATGCCTTCCAAGCCCTTTATCATGCCCTACAAGCTATTCTCTTTGAAGAGAAAGGGAGCGAGGACCACACATTTACAACAACTATCAAGGTATATGCTATTTCTCCCATTTGCAGGTGGGGACACCAAAATCCTGAGAGGCTCAATATCCAGTAGATGGCTACAAAGCTCAGAGAGGATGGAGGCCATATTCAAATTCAGGTTTGTTTAACCCAGA